AAAAAATTGTTTTTGTTTATGTTTAAAACTTATTGTAGGCTATCTCTGTGCCTAGGATGAACCTGAAGTGTAAACCTAAGGTCCTCTCAGGTCTTTTCTGATCCTGAGCCTTCCCCTGGGCAAACACAGTCACTTTCTAATTTTCCCCATGTATGCTGTTGCTTTTGGGAGTTTTAATGCTTGGCTCCCAAAAGTGGAAAAAGAGAAAAATGAAGGGGAAAAAGAATGCCAGCCCTTTAAATTTCCTGGCAGTCCATTCAGCCAGACAGGGAGGAGCTTGCAATAATGTGGGGGAAGGGTGCAACAACAATGCCTATCTCTTTGCACCACTGTGATTAGAAGCAGCAATCATAAGTCAGACCACAGATCTCTGATATTTGGAGGACAGGGTTCTTTTTGCCCACCCCAGCTCCACAACTTTTTGCCCATCCTGGCTCCTGCAAGTTGTATGCAAGTTATTACAGGAACATGTATGCAGCTGCCTGCCATGGGGCTGAAGATTGAGCATAAGTAGGTGCTACTGTGCTAAGAGGTGCAGTGGACTAAAATTAACTAGACTTTATCATCCAAGCCTTCCCAAAATATCAGACAATAGTTACATTCTGCCAATGCAATTGTTGTCTAGATGTGGAAACAGATTTCTGTTGCTTCCTACTCCACCAACTTCCTTCATCTGTTTGTTTTTAACTTGTCTAAATCTTTATATTTTAAGTGGATTTTTTTGTAGATAGCATATAGTTGGATATTTTGTATGCATTCTGACAGACAATCTCTTCCTTTAATTGGAGTATTTAATGCATTTACATTTAATGTAATTGTTGATATAGTTCTTTACATCTATCATCTTGCTGTTTTTTTTCTATCTGTCCTTGTGTTCTTTGTTCTTGACTTCTTTTGGATTGAGTATATTTTAGCATTCCAGTTTTCCTTCTCTTTTGGCTTTTTAGATGTAGTTTTTAAAGTTGGTTGTTTTAAAGATTATGATATGGGGGCCGGCCCGTGTCTCACTCGGTAGAGTGTGGTGCTGATAACACCAAGGCCACGGGTTTGGATCCCATATAGGGATGGCCAGTTTGCTCACTGGGTGAGCGTGGTGCTGACAACACCAAGTCAAGGGTTAAGATCCCCTTACCGGTCATCTTTTAAAAAAAAATAAAAAATAAAAAAAATAAAGATTATGATATGGGCCGGCCCGGTGGCGCACTGCTACAGTGCACCACTTGGGAGCGCAGCGGCGCTCCCGCCAAGGGTTCGGATCCCACATACAGACTGGTTCCTGCTCACTGGCTGAGCGAGGTGCGGGTGCAACACCGAGGATTGCGATCCTGTTGCCGGTCCCAGTCCAGTATGGGCGCGACACTGAGGGTTGCGATCCATTGCCGGACACGAAAAAAAGACAAAAAAAAAAAAAAAAAGATTATGATATGAATCCTTAACTTATCCTAGTTAACTTTTAATGAATATTATACCTCTTCAGATCTAAAGTAGGAATGTTACAATAGTATAATTCCATTAGCCTCCTCCTCCACTTTGTTATAAAACTAACAACACATTATTATTATGTTTACTTTAAATAGTCACTTGTCTTTTTAAAAAGTTAAGAAGAAAATTGTCTTCTATACATAGTTACCATTTCTGGTACTCTTTATTCCTTCCTGTAGACACAAACTTCCTTTTAATGTCATCTCCTTTCATCCAGAAGAACGGCAGCGCCGCCGCGCCTCCTAAGCGGCGCACTATCCAGTGCGCCACTGGGCCGGCCCCAGAAGAGTTTAATGTCATCTCCTTTCATCCAGAAGAACATTTTTAGCATTTCTTGTAGTCTGGGTCTCCTTGTAATGAATTGGGCACCTGTCATTTAATAAAACTTGAGAATTTGATCCAATCCCATCCACCATTTCCATTGCATAAAAGGATCAAGACAACTCTAGTAATTCCCTGGGAAAAGACTCACCCTAATCCCCAAACCCCAGCAGTCTGTGGGGGATCCGGGTTTGATGATAATCAAAGAAGCCCCTGAGAATGAGGCACCTGCAACTATTCTTCACAGTGGCCCAAAGCCCAGTCTTCCAGCCATGCTTCCACATTGACTTCAGGGTCCACCCAGACCTCCTGCTTGAGGGAGGAGCTGTTAGACTGTGGTATCGGTTGAGTGTTGCCTCTCAAAGGCCTGGGATAGGCACCCTTCAGAGCTCTTTTCTGATCTTGCTATGGACTACAGGTATCAGAGGGTGGTCTCCTGTTGGTTAGAGATGACCTGTTTTTCCTACCCATCTTTCCTGTACTGGTAAGAGACTAGCCAGTGATACGCACCCTCCTACATCCCTGCGGTTTTGTTCAGGGGCCTCAGATTTTTTCAGGGAGAACTTAGATACTCTGCTCCCATGACTCTTTAATGCCGAAGATGCTTCCTCAAGATCAAGGGTCATATGCACTTTAGTCGATTTACTGTCAGGGACTCAGATGCAGATTCCTTTGACTTGTCTTTTTTCCTTTACAAGTCTTTATACTGCCTCCCTGTCTTCCTTCTCTCCTGAGTTCCCCTTCCCATCTTTGCAGAGTGGCCTCCACACAGGCCAAGCTCGCTATTTGCTGCAAGCAAACACAGACTGACAGTCTCTATTCTGTCATGTAGTGCAGTGTAGGCAACCAAACTGTCTCCTTCTACCTGGGTGCCCATGGGCATGTCCTATAACTCCTAACCCCTCGCAGCTTCTGTTTCTTCATCTGTAAACAGAACTGTTGTGAAGATGAGATGAGATTAATTTCATTAATTTCATTGTGAAGGCTTTAGCACGGAGCCTGGGACCTAGCAAGTTACCCATGTTAGGTATTATAATTACAGCCCTGCTCTCAAACACCTTCCCCAACTCCCTTTCCAGCCTCAATTTAGTTGACAAAGCATTTGGCCCCTGTATGTTGCTGGATGTTCAGGAATGTGACCCCGTGTTTGCAGAAGGCCACTGACTTTCACATTCAATCTCCCAGGACAAGATGCCAGGCCTCAAACACTAGCTAGTACATCCCAGGCACTTGCTGCTCCACCTTCTCTGTTTTCTGGACCACATGGCATACAGCTCATCTCGTTTTTTCCCTGTCCTCTCAGTGGCCTGCTGCAGCCCAGTTCTTGGGCTTCTGTGGGGGAAGACAGGAGGAAGCTGGGGGTAGGTCACAGAGATGTAGTGTATGGGGCCTTGCTCCCAAGGAGCTCACAAGTGGGTTGGGGAGAAGGACCCAGAAGCAACTACTACAGCACTCCCAATTCAGGGAAAGACTGCTCGATGCATCTATGCTAGGATCTCATGGGAGCCCAGAGCTGACACCTGGATCACCCGGGAGTCAACACGACATTGATGATGCTGGGCTAGAATACTGACGGACAGTGGGAGGTAGCAAGACAGACAGTGAGGACAGAGCACCCCAGGCACCAGGAAGAGCCTTAAGAAGACTTCAAACTGCCTGAAGCATTCTGGGAACTCCAAATAATTCCACTGGAGTTGAGAGAGGCCTAAAAACCTTCAACCCACAAGACATACCAACCATTGGTCTCTTCCTCTCCCCTCCATTCCACCCTCAATGTGGTTGCCAAATTTATCTTCCTAAAAATTAAATTTGGCCCCCTGATTTTAAAATCTATTGGCTCCCTACGGCCTATAGGACAAAGAACAAACTCCTCCCTTGACATTCAAGGCCCTTCCCAATCTTGCCCCAACCTACTCCTCCCACCTCTCCTCCCCACCCCTCCTCCCCACCCCTCACCCTCTGTTATGGCTGCTCTGATAGTTTCCTATTCTCCAAGCAGTCCCTGCACGTTCGTTCGGGCCTCCGGGCCTTGCCCAGGCTGCTCCCTCTGCCCGAAATGTTCTTCCTCTCTTTTTCGCGGGACAAAATCCTGCATCTTTCAAGACCCAACCCAGGGGACATCTTCACTAGAAGACCCTACAGGGCAGAAGAATACAGCACATCATTTTTGTTGAATAATTAATTAATTATACCAAGGAACTCTTCCCTGAGTACCCAAGATAGACGTCCCCTCTGGGGTCCCCGCAGCCCTCGACCACGCTTGTTGGAGGCAAACAGAATTGAAGGCAGGCGTCATTTCTTGGGCTCATTTCTTTTTCCTCGACATCTAACTCTGTAGCTGGCACGTAGGAGGCCCCCGGTACATGTTTGTTGAATGAACGAATGAGCGGACCCGCCATTGCACCTTGTGAACCCGCCAGGCTCGGGTCTGGTGTCATCGCCTCCACTCCTGGCCCCGGTCTCCAGTGCGCGGCTCGTCTGCGACAGGAGCGCGGACGCTCGGTCCCCGCGCTCTCGGGCCCCGGCCCCCGCCCCGGCGGTCCCGCCCACGCCCATGATTGGACGGCGGAGGCCACGCCCACCGCGCCGGGCCGCCTTGGATTGGTGCGGCCTCCGCCAGGGGGCGG